CCCCTGGTCTGGTCCGGCTCCGGTTGGACCGGGGTAGCTCAACCGGCCGGTTGCCGGCCCAGCACTGAAAAAAACTTGAAAAAATTTAAGAAGACCACTACCCCAATCTTCTCCACCTCCAAAATCCCTCTTCTCAGCATCACATGGTAAATCTTAGAAATGAAAGTCCCGCACCTCTCAAGGAACACAATTGCTTGCCCATCACCACACCACACACCACTTCAGCCAACACTGTGTCTAGTCAGTGCTGCGCCAGCAGATACGTGAGACTTGCCGGATGCTCGGCTGGGCCTGCTCAGGTAACCTACGTCAAAAGCTGGTTGTCCAATTGCTTAATGTTGTTGCTCATTTGGCTTGCATTTTGCGTTTTCCCTACCCCTCCACAGATGCCTCTGGCGCAAATGTTGGATCAGACAGCAGAAAGCATGGTGAGACCTCTCACTTGTCCAGTGCTCCTGAGTCATAAACAATGACCTGGTTACTTTATCCAGGTTATCATAAAACGATGAGGACAACTGATCGATCAATCAATAGCGACAGAATTGCAAGGTTGAGGACAACACAATTCCAAAAGAATCCAAACACATTGGCACTCAATGGAATGACTGTCATCAGCCATAATAGGAAGTGCCGAGCACTTTGGATACTTTTTATGACGTGAACGACTTTCTGATGGAACAGCAGCCAGAGCCATGCTCCCCCGTGGTTTGTTTGGTGCAGGGCAGGGGGGGAACAGGGCCGAAAAAAAGATTACCTGAAGAGGCAAGGAGAGTTGCAGCACTAGCCCATTAGCCAGGACCAGATCTCCAACAGTCATCGTCCCATGGAACACTCTAATCCCAGCCAAAGCCATGATCAATCCTGTTCCCATTGCAAGAATTGTTGCCTGGCCCGCATTCATAAGAGACATGATATACTCCGCCTCGATCTGAAATGCACAACAGAGAACAGACCAAAACCAGCCCCTGATCATCAGGCAAAGAAGTCATACTTTCGGGAGCATAGACTATACATTTACCGTCATGAAGACGAGAACATCATTGTCATCATCCTCCATGTCCTCATCATCTTCATCATCATTGTCATCCTCCTTTTCTTTGTCATTGTATCATTATCACCATCATCATGACCATCATATGACCATCATCATCATTCTTCTCAATGTCATTACTGTTATGGTCACCATCATAATCCTCATCGCTCTTCCCATATCTCCCCACCTATCTTCATCACTAATATGGACGACAAGGATGTGAAATACCTTGGGCAGCAATGGGTAGTGCAGCTGATCCTGGAACTCTATAAAGTAGTATATAAACTGATGGATAGTGGCTGAGATGACCAACTGAGCAGGAGGCAGAAGGTTGGTCGCGGTACAGGCTATCACACGCCATGAACTAAATGTGTTCACTGTGAAAGTGAGGCCTCGTGCATTGAGTTCCATTTGCATTTGTCAATCACTAATATGGTTCTCATTGTAGTCAACAACATCCGTACCATCAGCACCATCACTATCACCATCATCACTGTTGTGACTGGTGAGGGTTTATGCCTCGGCATGGGGCCCTGCAGCAGGCGCGTGCCCATCCTAAGTGAAGGCGGGCCCCTTAATCTCAATGCGCCCTGAACTCGTCAATTTTTGCAAATCTTTGTCGAAGCAGGGAGCATGGCACGTTTGTGCCAGGGTGGTTGGGCATGCCTAACCGATTCGGTCCCAGGCCACTGTCTGAATCAGGCCTCGGTGCAGACACTTTGGCCGCGACTGAAGCTACTGGGAACTGGGTCTCATGTGTGGGTAGCAAAGGCAAGTGCCCGCCTCTTTCCATATAGGAAAGGGCACGGCACAGGGGAAGGTATTCGGGCACTTGCACTTGTGGGCGGCAGCGCTGCTGGAGCTTAGACTCGGGGGCTGCTTGCTGCGCTAGGGCGAGGTGCGGCCGCACACGGGCGTCGACAGGATACAGGGCACTGCTGAGGTCAGCGCCATAGGCCAGCCTTCATAGCCATCCTGGGGCTTGGACACAGTCAGCGGGTGGTGGTGGTCTTTGTGTATGGGAAGGAAAACGTGGGTGATGAAGACGAGGGTGAGAGAGAGAGGGAGAGAGATGAGGTTGATGATGTGAGGGCACGTACCTGGTTTTGGCGATGGTCTACAAGGTCGACATCTTCATGCACTGCAGTTGTTGCTGCTGACGTCAATGGGATGCATTGTCAATGCGTAGGCTGTTAGTAGCTGTGTAGAAGTAGTCTGGGCGCTGAGCGCCAAGTAGGAAGAAGGGCTCTGAATACATATGTTGGTGGTGGCGAGAATAGGCTCTCATTGAGATTCGGTGCTTTGGTTCTCCGTTGGTGCAATATCAGTGCATTTCTGCTTTCTGGACAGTGTTGGACTTTCTGGCTTTCAATGTGAAATCGCATTCTGGAATTCTGACATTTCGCTATATCTCGTTTTCCTTGCACTTGAAACGGTTTTCACCTCTTTGCAGTAGCAGACGCAGATCCCAGGGTTCGATCCCTAGACCTTGCCCTACCTGTGTACAGTACCTGTGTAGGCCCCGAGAGTTGAACCTGTGACCTGTGTATTCGTAAACAGTTGAGAGGCTGTCATAGGTCCGTAGGTAGCAGGGGTTCGATCTGTAGACCTGTAGGATAGAAGTCTTAGTGAGTTCCAGAAGTCTTAGCTGTAGTCCTTCTAGAAGGTCGGCAAGTGGGCAAGTGGTCAAGTGGTGAGTCAAGTGGTGGACTAAACCGCAGTACGATTGCAGTACGAGTCCGGTGGGATAGCAGTGAGTCCCCAGTCAGTCAGCGGTAGGGTCCAGTCAGTCCCAGTCGAGTCCAGCAAGTACCACAAGGGACTGTGAGCACCATGGGCCGATGGCAAAGGGCAGACCAACGAGTTTCAGAAGTATAAATCAAGAGGCAGCACCCAGCCATTCATTCATTCCTGCGTGAGCCATGCGGAAGCGCTGCCACAGCGACTTGTGCAAGGAAGTCTGCAGAGAGCCCGGAGCTGAAGTGGGCGAGAGAGAAGGAGCGTAGTATAGCGATAGGGTAGTTGCGGCCATAGCCGCCATAGCTAGAGTTAGTGTGAAGTGTGTGAGTATGTGTGAGTGTTCAGAGTGACGCGTGTGGGATATCCAGCGTGATCCGGTGTGTGTGAACAGTGAGTTGTTTGGGCGCTGAGTCGCCATAGCCAGTTGAAAGTGAACTCTTATCTGGATGCCATGTCTTTGAGTTTTGAGTGGGCGTATGTCGCCAGTTTGCTGCGCTACTGTTTACATGCATGAAAAGTGTGAATGAACGAGTCTGATTGCACACTGTTGTCTACACATTCATAACCACCATAGTCATCATCATCATCAACCATCACCACAACAGTCCTCAACTACAGGGACCCGTGAATGGCATGTTTGGACTTATCTGGCATTGTGAAGCAGAATTATAAATACATAAATTGTTCGGCTTGTATTTTTTGTCCTTATGTCTAGGCGTATTTAGAGATTGCTACCATTCATCTGCACCCAAACCCACAGGCCCAGGGACTGCTGCCCTGTGGAATAAATAACTGTAGTGTGCTCAATTTGGACAACGGTACTGCGTGCTTCCAGGCAGAAAAATAAGCTCCTGCTGCCCCAGTCAGTTTCCAGGTTTGCTCTGGAAGTGGAGACAAAAAAAAGTTGCTCTGGTAGCACTCGGGAGTGGAACAGTGCATGAGCTCGGATAAAGAAGGTGGCAAGGATCGGTGAATCCAACTCAGAGGAGCCCGGGGCACGTAGAGTTAGTGTAGGCAATTAAGATTTATGCAAATGTTTGTGTTCAGCAGATATTGACAACAACGTACCTGGCTTTTCTGCAAACGTCGACCTTCCGCCCAAAAGCTTTGAAAAGCGGGGTGAGGGTGTTACTGGCAGGGTAGGGACAGTACTTCCCACCGAAAACTTTGAAAAGGGTGGCCTATCTGGGCTGCCGATCTCTCAAGATCAGCGGTCCAGATAGGCCGCCCTTTTCAAGCCTTTTTGGCGGGCCTACTGGACCCCGTCTGATTTTTTTTGGTGCCAGGAGACCTCCACGGCCTGCATGGAGGCCTCCTGGCCCAAAAACAAAACAGTAAGACCCCCAAGATTGGATGCGCTACGGGCCCTTGGTGCTTGTCACTGCTGTCTGGTCCAAGTTGCCCTCGATACTGGTAGGGTGATGGTCCTCAGTGCTGGTCACACTGAGGTAGGATAGTAGGGATAGGGGGTGCGCCGGGAATATTAACATGGGGAAGGGTAGGGAAGGTGGCCTATCCTGTCAGGACAACCACCAGCTGCCGCTGTCAGCGATCAACGTGGGTCTAGTCCTTGGGCTCTACAACAGCCTGGCCTCAAAAAAAAAAAAAAAAAAAAAAAAAAGACGCGCTATGGCCAACCGGGGAGGGAACCGGCCCCGACGACCGACCGGTAGGACTGGTCTGGTCCCGGTTGGGGGAGGGGCCCCTGGTCCTACTGGGTTTACAGCATTGGTATCTATGTATTTGTCAGTTTGTTTGTTTGTCTGCCTGTCTGTCTTCTCTATCTACCTTATCTGTGTCTATATATTTGTTTGTCTGTTGATTGTCTGTTTGTTTGTTTGTCTTTATCTATCCACCTGATTGATTGCATGATCACTCGCCGTGATTGGTTGCACGCTTGTGGGTGCTTGCTTTCCCTCGCTTTCTGGGATACACTTGCTTGCTCGCCCGCTGGCCGGATTGCTTGCTGGTTTACTAGCCTCTCTGCTTGCTCACTTGCTTCCTCGCACTGCTTGCCTGCTCGCTCTGCCTGCCTGCTTGCTTGCCTGCCTGCCTGCAGGCATGGATACAAATTGCATGCATGTGCACAGACACACATACACACGCACAGTGGCAGGAGGTTCGATGTTTGCCCTTGCACTTGGGGGAACATTTTTCCTTCCCCTTTTCTTCGTTTCAAAATACGGCGGAAGGACAACCCCCCACCAAAGGATATTTTTTATGACCATAAAAAACGAACAAGAAACAACTTCAAAAAAGGTAACATGTTTTTGTGGTTAGCTCGACTTCGCTCAACTTAGCTGAGCACAAAAAAATATTACCGTTTTTGAAGTTGTTTCTTGTCCGCTTCCAGGGAGCCAATCACTCGGTAGTTCAGCTGAACTTCCTTGGCCGAACCTGAATGCTGGCAGCCCTGCTGGATGGCTTGTTTATGCCGGCTTAGAGGAAAAGGAGGGCATTGACATTCATTCATTCATTTGAAAATATCTCAGACAGGTTAACCGTATAGCTACATTGCTGGAGGGGAGAGGCAGAAATGTAGGCTCTTTGTCAAATGGACGCCTCTTATGTGAGGCTGAGTTGCAAGTGCTCAATACATCCGGCAAGGGGCGCCTGTCTACACTTTGCTCATGGCACTAAACCAGATCATAGGGAACATGATCTTCGACATCTACCAACGTCAACAGAAAGTAACAAAAGGAGATAAGGCTGTACCAACTTAGTTCAGAACAGCAATACATAACCTGGTCTGCCTTATCATCATCTCAAATCAAGCTCAATATTGCCACATAGTTGCCAAGGCAGGCCCTGCAAGTTTTTTGCACATGATATCATTGTAATTTCCCTCTTTTACCTCTTGGTGATAGCTAAGGTGCAACCTCTTGGCGAGAGCTAGGGTGCAACGTAATCGTCGCAAGGACCAGTCTGATATAATCCCAGTAAAATAGAAGAGAGTCCGCCACTACCGTCTTCACCCGAATAGAGCACCTGGTCATTATGGCTGCATCTGGACTGAAAGTTGCACCAAATACCGCTACTACCGCCGTCAACCGAATAGAGTGCCCGCCGCCTGGTCATTATGGCTGCATCTGGACTGAAAGTTGCACCAAGTACAGCTATAATGACCGGGCGTTCTATTCAGATGAAGACGGTAGGTTCTCTCGGGTGATTCTAGATGAGGATTTAAACAAAGAGCAAAATACTACTCAGTGTTTTGGACTTGGGCTTTAGGAAAAAACTGTAGACATTTTAGGGTTCAGAGCTTGGATGAGATAATGTGAAGGCTAGGAAAAACAACCGAAGCTTGTTGGTACCCATGCAGCAGGCCGTTGTACTGCGCTGACTCCAGTGACTGGTTATTGAACTATTGCAATGATCACAAACAGAAACAAACACAAGCCGGCAGAGAAACCGCAACACATAAGTCTCAGCGAAGTATATCAGACAGACGGAAGGACATGACAGTTCAAACTTCAAACACAAGGCGGCAACAAATTTATCTGGAGACCAGGTCATAGGACAGGTGGTCAACTTGGTCAAGACATCAAGATTTACTGGAAGTGACAGAAGCAACCCAGTTGGCTTCTCCCTGAGTTGTCGGCCAATCCTCCAACATCCACCCGAAGAGAATCATCATTCTTAGGTACTCTAACATTATGACACCGAAAACTGTGCCAAACAAGGTATGGCGTAGGTTACCCAGGACACCCGGTCGGGCATCCAGGCAAGTCGGCAGGGCAGGCACTCGCCCTGGTCGCTCCTGGAACCGTTCTTCTGTTTTTTTGGGGGATCCGCAGCGGGACATTCAGCACCTCCAAGATCAGCCCAAATCTGGGTTCTTTTTAATTTATCAGTGTTATGATGTTATCACACGGGCGGCGGGGGGGGAAGCGAGGTGTAAATGGGGTTTAAAGGGGGTCGAATGTTTTTTTTTTCACTTTTTTTTATCGTCAATCTAATAGGGAATTCTGAGGTGATCCCCGACCAGAAATGGTTTGCAACTTTGGGTTCAATTTTACGCACCATCTGTTTTCGTAAATTTTGGATTTATTTATTGATCACGATTTATTTATTGGTTTTATTTTTTGTTGGGGCTGCCCAGGAGCTGCCCAGGACCTTACCCAGCAATGCAGATGGCAACACAAGCACTAGAGGAACCATGCACACAGATTCAGGATCCGGTAGACAAGAGGTCGATCAAGCAGAGTTCCTCGACTTATGAAAAGGGGGACTGAGATTGTGTGTATTAGGGGTTATACCACCAGTACATGGCCCCAGGCAACACAAGAACCTGTTTTGAGCCTCTCCGGAAATTTAGGAGGCTGAGCGCTGTAGATAAAATGAATTGGTGGCTGGCGGTCTCCGAAAGGGGCCTGCGGCCGATAGCTGGCATGTACTGGTGGTTTAAAATTTAAATGCTATAGTTGTGAAGAATGCAGACCATTCCTTCTCATAGACAAACTTTTGGATAGACTGCAGGGGTGCAAGTACTTTTCTAAGATCAATTTGAAGTCCGGATATCACCTGATCGAAGTAGCACCCAAGCATCAGCACAAGACCGCGTTTAGAACCAGATACGGTCATTATGAGTTCAACGCGATGCCCTTTGGGTTGACTAATGCCTCTACCACCTTCCAGTGCTGCATTGAATGATATGTGCAAGGACTGGCTTGATAGGTTTGTAATAGCCTATCTAGATGGCATTCTAGTGTTCAGCAAGACTCTAGAGGAGGAGCAGGAGAACCTGCACAAGGTGCCGATGAAGCTTAGAGAGAATAAGTGGCAAAGGAAGAGGGGGAGGAGGAGGAAATCGAGGTGGCGAAGGAGAATGCACCAGATGAGGAGGAGGGAGATGGGGTAGCAGGACAGAGAGGAGGTGGCAGAGAACAAGAGGGAAGGGGGAGGTCACGGTGATGGAGCAGCAGGGGGAGGACCAGGAAGTGGCGGAGAAAGTCAGGGAAGAGGAGTTGGTGTGCACTGCGGCGGCCCCCACCTGTCTTTTGAAGAGCCTTTCGGATTCTTGACTCTAAATTGGTAGGATTTTGACATGGTCCAAACTGGTTTGAATGATGAAAAAATACTTTGAGACTTCTGAAGTTCTAAACCTTCTTTTTTCAAGTTCTTTTCAGCAACAGCAATACCAAAACCATGCGCCTGACATCCTGTGGTTCAGAGTTGGTTCAGAGTTCTTTTTTTTTTTTTTTTTTTACTGGGCTCAGCCTATTAGGGGGAGTCATACAAGAAGGGAGACCCGTCAGACATCAGGAATTACAGGCCTATCTCGCTCCTTACGGTCACATACAAAATTCTGGCAAAACTTCTAGCAAATAGAATCAAATCCATAACAAAGAATTGTTTTCATCTAGACCAAACAGGATTCATACCAGGAAGATTCATCCTAGATAACGTAATGACTCTCTCAGAATTCGTAAGATACATACAGGACAAAAGAATAAATGTGGCAATCCTCTTTTTTGACTTCGAAAAAGCTTATGACCAGGTTAACTTGAATTTCCTCCAACAAAGCATGGAAAAAATGGGGATAGGACCAAATTTTAGAAGATCGGTCCAGATTCTCTACTTTGACGCTTAGGGAGAGTACAAGTTAACGGGCATATCTCTCAGCCCTATCGCATGACTCGCTCTATAAGACACGGAGACCCCCTCGCCGCCCCTATTTTCCTGTTCATCATGGAAGCTATTGCATCCTTCCTAAGAAAGGACCCGTCGATAGAAAGGCTGATAGAGGACAGAACACACACCCTCAACCTGCCCACCACAATCCTTTTCGCAGACGACCTGACGATACTTATACGGGCCTCAGACTCCTCCTTTGAAGCATTCACAAGAGCGATCCAAGCATTCCAGCTAGCATCAGAAATGAAAATTAATTGGGCCAAAACAATAGGTTGGTGGCTAATGGACCCACAGCTGAACCCACCGCAAAGAACCCCGGAAGGAATGATCTGGAACCGGGGTAACGAACCCCTCAGATTCCTGGGCATCCAGATGTCTAAATACGGCCCCAATCAAGCAATGGCACCAGTGATAATGAATAGGATGCTGACAAAAATGGGGAGCTGGACGAACGTGTACACGTCTATCTTCGGTAGAGCCATGATCCTTAACGCCTCAATCTTCTCAATGCTCTGGTATGCAGTAACGGCCTACATCTGGTCAGGAAACCCTTCCAAGGAACAATTCATATCGAAGGTGGCCTGGAGTATGTCGTCAACCAAAAATCTAAGGGAGGCTTAGGGATCCTTGATCCTGAAACACAGATTAAGGCCCTACAATTCAAATCGATCCTTAAACTGATCACGTACGATAACTTACCATGGACCCACCTGGCCTTACGGAGGATACAAAACTAGCCAAATTCAAAACACCGAACAACATGAAAAGTTTGTTTTGCATCATGGCTAAATCATGGGCAATGAGGGGCACAATCAGGACAACAGAACTGGAAGAAGAGGAAGCAAGCGATAATGGCTTTTGGCGAAACCTACTGAAAAAATGGAGGGAGAGATTACCAGCGAAAGTAAGGGAACCCACATCCAAGGAAGAAGTGCTTAGACAACCACTCTTCTGCAACCAGTAGATTTTGGACACACAAAGGAAACCTTGGACCCTAACAGCCAAAGACTCAAGATGGGGATCGTGGGTAGAAAAAGGGGTATGGCAGATCAAGCACCTCTGGCACAACGAGGAACCGAGATGGAAGACAACAGGAGAACTAAGGGAACAACTAAAAGGTTGCCACAACCTGCAAGAGAATCTCAACCATGTTTTAATCTCAATTCCTGAAAGCTGGTTTAGACTTCTCAGAAGTCGATGCTTGTGGAAGGCAGGAGACTGGGCCACGGAGAAGGTCGAGCGCCCACCGAAGACAGCCTATCAGTTCTGAACCAAGAAAGGCAGAGGAAATGAGTGGCTCATCAGCGATATTTACACAATTGAGGACCCAGGTGCATCAACAAGCCTACTAAGCAAAAACTCCACAGGGGAAATGGCCTGGCATGAACGAACATTAAGGAAGGTGAGGGTTATAGAAACGCAGGACCGCCGAATCTACAACTCACAAACTAATATCGAGGACTTGGAGATTGACCCGGTGGAATGGGCGTGGAAAAGGAAATCAGGGAGGCTCAACATAGAAAAACGCACCAACATCCTGGAATACACAACCAAACTAGGCTACACATTAAGGACAAGGTCACATCCCATAACCCAAATCGTAGGCCAAAGATGGGAGACACATTTTGATCTCACCCAAAATCGTATCCCGAACATCCCCTGGACTGGGTTTCTAAACATTAACCAAGTCAAAATAAGAAGTTTCCAGTGGCTACTCGCCCACCTGGCTCTCCCAGTTAACCAATGGTTGAACAAGAGGAGAAACATTCAAGCCAGGACCCCGTTACAAGAGCTAAGTGCAATCTGCCCGGAAGGCCGTGTGGAAGACGATGGCCATTGCCTAGTAAACTGCCCAAAAGCACAGCAACTCTGGTCCAACACAAATGATCTCTGGCATACAATCACAAACAGAACCCTCCCTACTGACCCTCTTACTCTTCTATTGGGCCTGCACATCCCATCCAATTGGCAGGGGCACGAGACCATTTTTTTTCACATTCTACGTCTGGCAACGCTATGGATGATATGGAAAAGAAGATGTCAAGAGACGATAGACCGTACGTCACTTCAGGTGCAGGAAACAGGGGAAGGAGTCCTAAATATATTAGAGATTGAATACAGAGGGCGCTGGAAGAGAGTGTGTAGGAAAATAGAGAAGAATATACTAATATAGTGGATAGAGACAAAATTATTGAGGTTTTTAACAAAAAGTAGCTAGGGGAAGGGAGAATAGCAACAATCTCCCATAACAGATTACAGTTCGGACAATGGAGACACAATAGACTAGCCATACTGCAATCCTCAGACCTGCCTCAAAGTAGATCCCATGTCTCAGGAATGTCCATTGGCTCCGTTTAAACAAAACAAACAACAACAGATAGCCCTAAAACAGTGTCAGCTTATCAACACAGAACAGGAGCACCCAACTACCTAATTTCACTTTAACAGACTAGGCCTTAGCCCCTCAAAACCCCCAAACCATAGGATCCACAACGAACCAACCTTAGCACCAAGCACAGTCAATCTCGAAATAGACCATACCTCATAGGAAACCTAGCACCTCAAAAGGAAGATTCACTAAAGCACCACCATAACCCCCTCAGGGATCTAAAATCCCTATGTCAACAGATACAGACACGGCTTACAAGAATAAGTAGATGAGCCAGGGCCAGGGTTATAACAAGGACCGCAACAAGTGTAAACCTCACAGAACTTAATGCAAACAGAATTTAACACAAGCAGCCTTATCAGCAGTACTAACACAAGAAGAAAAACAGGCAGCCGAGGAGCTGAGAGGTACGGACCGGAAGGAACACAAAGAATCAAGCCCCAAACACTAGAGCGAACGGAATCCTCAATTAGTAAAAGATAGGAGAAAAGTAGCACAGGCTAACTTAGGCAGGGGTGAGGGGTGGTACATCCTTCCTGATGGAAGCAATCAATGCCGCCCCTCAGGCCTCCACACCAGAAGGAGGAGGAGAGTGAGCGTGTTCTCAAAAAAGCGGTAACTTAGAGGAAAGTAGTAGTAAAAACAGTCATCAGAGAGAAAGGAAAGGTTCACACCCCAAGCTAGAGAGAGGAAGAGGGTTCAGGGTTTAGGGTTTTAGAGCCTAAGAACAGTACTTGTTTTACATTTTTAGGAACTAGGAACAGGTAAATCACAGCAGCATTACAGCTGAGGGTTTAGGGTTTAAGGTTTAGACAGAGACAGGACAAACAGGGCTTAGGGCGTCAGAGATTTCAGAAGACTCGTAGGCGATCCAGATCGCTCTAGCATAACACACCAACCAGACAGCACTACAGCTGAGAGGAGCAGGACTGGGGTCAGAAAGATTGGCAACAACCAGGCAGTTTAAATAGCACAGGCTAACTTAGGCAGGGGCGAGGGGCGGTACATCCTTTCCCAAGGAAGTAATCAATGCCATCCACTCGGGCCTCCAAGCCATAACGGGGAGGAGCGTGCGTGAGTCTCCCATGTATTCCATATTGACTTGCCGGGGGAATAGGAACCGGACGGTCGCTCCCCAGAATGGTAGGAGCCAGAACCAAGAGATTCTGTTTGAAAAAAAAAAAAAAAAAAAAAAAGGGAGAGGGATACGAGCATCCCCCCCCCCCCCCCCAAACCAAGTAGGCCTAGCAGGGGTTGCTCCAATCGATCGGTGGGGGGCTGCACAGCCAGAAATTGGGTCCAGCGTCGCGGAACATCATTAGTTACCAGAGCCCTTGCCCGGCTTCGGCTGTTGATAGCTGTTGAAAACTGAGCCTGGCCCATAGCATACATCTGGCCACTCATGTCTCAGAAGAAAATAAGATCGCATGGTGCCCTTCCCCCTACAGTTTCTGTAGGGCGCCTGACCATCTATATAGCACTAGCACCATTCCTGCATGGAACTGTAGGACCTGCTGTTGCTAGCTGTGCAGATAAGGGCAGGTATGGACAGGCAATTGACAAACAGCGACAGTCTGTACAGGCGTCAATCCCCCCAAAAGCCTTTGTCGCTCAACCAAAGAGAAGGCAGGGGGGAAAGAGGTCGGGAGTGGCACTGTAGCCGCTATTGTGGTCCATTCATGGAAGGAAAGGCGATAGTCACTTACAAGCTCCCCATGATCACACCCTGTCTCCCATTCCATTCAACTTCCGCTATCCAGCCACCCTGAGTCTGTACAGGCGTCAATCCCCCCAAAGCCTTTGTCGCTCAACCAAAGAGAAGGCAGGGGGGGGGAAGAGGTCGGGATTGGCACTGTAGCCGCTATTGTGGTTCATTCATGGAAGGAAAGGCAATAGTCACTTACAAGCTCCCTATGATCGCACCCTGTCCCCCATTCCATTCAACTTCTGCCATCCAGCCACTCTGCGCCCCTCCCAGCCAGTCTCAACGCAATCTGAGTTTGAATTTCTGCTTTGGAATGCATAAAGGTAAGTTTGTCTTTGACTAGGTCCAATTTTGTTGTTAATTCTGCTTGCACATGTTGCTTGATTGAGTCCATAAAAACTGGTCCCTCCAGGCGAACACCTTCCATTTCAAAGGTGCAGTGTCGCCACCAGAGGGCCCAGAGTATGGCTCGACAGCCAATCCTGGACATGTTATGGTCAAAGGTATCGACCCGATCCAGGCTCCAGGATTCACATAGTAGAGCTTGCCAGGTCGATGGCCATGGAGTTGTTGTACCCAGCTGGCGCCAGATGTGGCCCTACCATCTCCACAGCATACTGATCCTGGACACTGCAAGAAAATGTGCTCAATAGTTTCGGGGCATTTCCGAGCCTGGAAAGCAAAGATGTAGAGCTTGCACCAGGGCAAAGCTAGGCACTTTTGCTCCAGGTACATTTGATACATCAACCAGTCGTTGGTGGGAAGACAACAGTGTTCAGTCTGCCACTGCAGCGACACTGCCTTCGCAGGTTTGGCCTCTCCCGAGATGAAGGTGCTTCATCCATCTGGACTCCACTATGTCCTTGAGGTTCACCTTCGGACACGGCACTCAATACGTCACCTTCACGAACACCGAGTGAAGGTATTGGCTACAGTCTCTACTGCGGGCAGCATTTTTATCCTGTGGACCCGGGAAGTGGGAATCCACTCAATTTCCTCTGGAGAGGCCCGCGAGAGATTGTTATTGTGGTTCCTTTGAAAGTACTCGACCAGGACCTCGTCGTCAGGATGGATGTCCACAACACTTCCTATTTTCTTCGTACTGCCCCTAATGGCCACCCAATCACTCTCTTCCACGGTGGGCCCATTCCGGAGGAGGAGGATCTACTCCAGGGGGATGGAAAAAATAATAGTCCCAAACGCATCCCCAGGCCTTCGAGAGGTCGATGGCAATATCTGAGCCGCTCCCGCAGCTGGGCCTCTGATATCCAATAGTTTGTCTCCTGGTCCCAAATGTCACCCACCCGAATGACACCATGTTTTGCCCATCCCTAATCCTGTTTGGTGTCCAAATTGCAGCCATGCTGCCATAGTAGCTAAGCAAACAAGTCAGAGCCCTGTCTCCACAATCCTGCGCTGCACTAGCCTCTCACTGATTGACCCGCCCTCAATCTCGGGACATGATGGATGCATGCCGCCTCTTGACAGGTCATGGTTCACAGTTCATTCTGGCTGCATGGGTGTTGCACGCTCAAAAAGCTCATGCATCCGACAGCACCGAGTAATGCTGCTTTTGAATTCATAGTATTCATACCTTTTAGTGACTAAACAAACATGTCAGAGCCCTGGCTCCACAGTCCTGAGCTGCACTAGCCTCTCACTGATTGACCCACAAACGACCTCTGGACATCATGGATGCATGCCGTCTTCTGAAAGTTTATGGTTCACAGCTCATTTTGGCGTCGTAGGCGTTGCACACTCAAAAGAACATGCATCCAACACCACTGGGTAAATGCTACTTTCTTGATTCATACCGTTTAGTTCAATCCATTGGACTGCAAATGCTTTCAGACATCAAGAACAAGCCCATCAATCAACAAGACACATTCTGCAGTCAAAGTTTATAAATATAACATCCTCTGTTACTTCTTTCCCGTTTCTTATTGTGTGCCGCCTCCTTCAGTCATGCTTGTGTGTCCCTTTTCTCAATGCTTGTATACCACTTTTGCTAAGAACAGTGCAGCACACTCATCATTACCTGCAAGACAGTCTCATAATTGAGGAGTGCATCCACTGCCTTCCCTGTTGTGAGATTATCCAGTACATTGACCTGCACCAATTATCATAAATAAACACCGCCCGTGACCAAATGTCAACCTCCTGTTAAACAACAACCGACGACAGTTACTCGTGAGAAGTAGCACACCAACCACACAGCAAAATAAGTCTGGGAGCAAGAACAGGCAGGCACACTGCATGGAGCCCTATAGCTGCGGCCATGTCCATTCTGGGAGCTATAGTTCAGTCACTTTCCCACTGGCAAGAAAAGACCTAATTCTAGTAATTCATGCCTTTGTTTACACCTCACCATATTGACGGTTAATCAGCATTAGCTATCTGGTGGTTAGAATCCGTTAGTTAGATGATGGGTGAATTATTATGATGGGTGAATTATTATGATGGGTCAATTATTCCACTACCGTCTTCACCCGAATAGACCGTATTTGTTGCAATTTTCAGTCCAGATACAGCTATAACGACTAGGCGTTCTATTCGGATGAAGACGGTAGGGCGAAAGGGAGTCTTTTGTACTGATGGTTTTGATGAAAATACTGTGTAACTTCACTACCGAGTCATTTTTGGGTTTTCTTCTGGGTGAGGACGGCGCCGGCCGGGCGTGCCCGGGGGGGCCGCCCGGGCAAACCGGGCGGGCCAAAAAACACCCGAGAATTTTTTATTTATTTTTTCTGAAGGCGGGGTCTTTCCGTGCTCGGCAAGAGGACCCCGAATCTGCAATAAAATTTTGGGGTTGGGGTTGGGGTTGGGCAACCCCAATCGGGCTCCAAAACCCCCGCCACCCCCCCCTCACTGACCGCCGCGGGGTAGCGGCCGCGCATGGCCGCCTCCGGGGGGAATTCATAGCCTACAGCTGCTGGCTCCGTAATGCTTTCCGCCCAAAAAGTCCACATCCAATCCCCAATTTCCCCAGTTGTAAGTCTGTTCAGTCCATCTGCCTTCCGATATAGCAGGGTAGACCCGTCTAACAAGCTCAAAAAGGTCCGTTCGGGTCAGCCTAGTTAACCTACCCCAAATTCTGATCCCGATTCATACTCCCGATTTGCAAAAGTACTCCGAAATAAAACTCCGAAAGTCTCGTGAAAAATATGTGCCGCGTGCTTGTCTGGCTCCGCAAAACAATCTCGGGGCAATACCAAGAGAACCAAAATTTCAAGAAACCCAAAAAATATACCCAGCTAGTTAGGGGCGCACCACGGGGGGGGCGGGAGAGAGAGAGAGAGAGAGAGCAATTCGGGAGGAATTGTGAGATCAGTCAACAAATTCTGAGATTATTGAGTGTGAACACTGTGAAATGATCAAAAGGAATGCTATGAATTAAACATAAGGAGTGCAAAGAACCATGAGACACAGTTTCTTGCTTTGCATTGCGCTACTGTTCAGTAGGCTCTTTTTTTTTTTTTTTTTTTTTTTTTTTTTTTTGGTAACC